ATGGCATTCAGCTAGAGGTCACGTCTGGCTGAGCAGGAACCATTGACCAGATAAATATTTGATATCTTGGCTAGAAGCGATCTAAGCCTCACCATGTCTTTTTTTTACCACTTTGGTTAACGTATTGGGACAATTTTAGCTAGGGTCACGGGATGTTAGTTGGGGTCACGGGATGTTATTTGGGGTCACGGGATGTTAGTTGGGGTCACGGGATGTTAATTGGGGTCACGGGATGTTAGTTAGGGTCACGGGATGTTAGTTGGGGTCACTGGATGTTGGGGTCACTGGATGTTGGGGTTACTGGATGTTAGTTGGGGTCACGGGATGTTATTTGGGGTCACGGGATGTTAGTTGGGGTCACGGGATGTTAATTGGGGTCACGGGATGTTAGTTAGGGTCACGGGATGTTAGTTGGGGTCACTGGATGTTGGGGTCACTGGATGTTGGGGTTACTGGATGTTAGTTGGGGTCACGGGATGTTAGTTGGGGTCACTGGATGTTAGTTGGGGTCAATGGATGTTAGGGTTACTGGATGTTAGTTGGGGTCACTGGATGTTGGGGTCACTGGATGTTGGGGTTACTGGATGTTAGTTGGGGTCAATGGATGTTAGGGTTACTGGATGTTAGTTGGGGTCACTGGATGTTAGTTGGGGTCACTGGATGTTGGGGTCAATGGATGTTAGGGTTACTGGATGTTAGTTGGGGTCACTGGATGTTAGTTGGGGTCACTGGATGTTGGGGTCACTGGATGTTGGGGTTACTGGATGTTAGTTGGGGTCACGGGATGTTAGTTGGGGTCACTGGATGTTAGTTGGGGTCACTGGATGTTAGTTGGGGTCACTGGATGTTGGGGTCACTGGATGTTAGTTGGGGTCACTGGATGTTAGTTGGGGTCACTGGATGTTAGTTGGGGTCACTGGATGTTGGGGTCACTGGATGTTAGTTGGGGTCACGGGATGTTAGTTGGGGTCACGGGATGTTAGTTGGGGTCACGGGATGTTAGTTGGGGTCACTGGATATTAGTTGGGGTCACGGGATGTTAGTTGGGGTCACTGGATGTTAGTTGGGGTCACGGGATGTTAGTTGGGGTCACTGGATGTTGGGGTCACTGGATGTTAGTTGGGGTCACGGGATGTTAGTTGGGGTCAATGGATGTTAGTTGGGGTCAATGGATGTTAGTTGGGGTCACTGGATGTTAGTTGGGGTCACGGGATGTTAGTTGGGGTCAATGGATGTTAGGGTTACTGGATGTTAGTTGGGGTCACGGGATGTTAGTTGGGGTCACTGGATGTTAGTTGGGGTCACGGGATGTTAGTTGGGGTCACTGGATGTTGGGGTCACTGGATGTTAGTTGGGGTCACGGGATGTTATTTGGGGTCACGGGATGTTAGTTGGGGTCACGGGATGTTAATTGGGGTCACGGGATGTTAGTTAGGGTCACGGGATGTTAGTTGGGGTCACTGGATGTTGGGGTCACTGGATGTTGGGGTTACTGGATGTTAGTTGGGGTCACGGGATGTTAGTTGGGGTCACTGGATGTTAGTTGGGGTCAATGGATGTTAGGGTTACTGGATGTTAGTTGGGGTCACTGGATGTTGGGGTCACTGGATGTTGGGGTTACTGGATGTTAGTTGGGGTCAATGGATGTTAGGGTTACTGGATGTTAGTTGGGGTCACTGGATGTTAGTTGGGGTCACTGGATGTTGGGGTCAATGGATGTTAGGGTTACTGGATGTTAGTTGGGGTCACTGGATGTTAGTTGGGGTCACTGGATGTTGGGGTCACTGGATGTTGGGGTTACTGGATGTTAGTTGGGGTCACGGGATGTTAGTTGGGGTCACTGGATGTTAGTTGGGGTCACTGGATGTTAGTTGGGGTCACTGGATGTTGGGGTCACTGGATGTTAGTTGGGGTCACTGGATGTTAGTTGGGGTCACTGGATGTTAGTTGGGGTCACTGGATGTTGGGGTCACTGGATGTTAGTTGGGGTCACGGGATGTTAGTTGGGGTCACGGGATGTTAGTTGGGGTCACGGGATGTTAGTTGGGGTCACTGGATGTTAGTTGGGGTCACGGGATGTTAGTTGGGGTCACTGGATGTTAGTTGGGGTCACGGGATGTTAGTTGGGGTCACTGGATGTTGGGGTCACTGGATGTTAGTTGGGGTCACGGGATGTTAGTTGGGGTCAATGGATGTTAGTTGGGGTCAATGGATGTTAGTTGGGGTCACTGGATGTTAGTTGGGGTCACGGGATGTTAGTTGGGGTCAATGGATGTTAGGGTTACTGGATGTTAGTTGGGGTCACGGGATGTTAGTTGGGGTCACTGGATGTTAGTTGGGGTCACTGGATGTTAGTTGGGGTCACTGGATGTTGGGGTCACTGGATGTTAGTTGGGGTCACTGGATGTTAGTTGGGGTCACTGGATGTTAGTTGGGGTCACGGGATGTTAGTTGGGGTCACGGGATGTTAGTTGGGGTCAATGGATGTTAGTTGGGGTCACGGGATGTTAGTTGGGGTCACTGGATGTTAGTTGGGGTCACTGGATGTTGGGGTCACTGGATGTTAGTTGGGGTCACGGGATGTTAGTTGGGGTCACGGGATGTTAGTTGGGGTCACGGGATGTTAGTTGGGGTCAATGGATGTTAGTTGGGGTCACTGGATGTTGGGGTCACTGGATGTTAGTTGGGGTCACGGGATGTTAGTTGGGGTCAATGGATGTTAGTTGGGGTCACGGGATGTTAGTTGGGGTCACTGGATGTTAGTTGGGGTCACGGGATGTTAGTTGGGGTCACTGGATGTTAGTTGGGGTCACTGGATGTTGGGGTTACTGGATGTTAGTTGGGGTCACGGGATGTTAGTTGGGGTCACTGGATGTTAGTTGGGGTCACTGGATGTTAGTTGGGGTCAATGGATGTTAGTTGGGGTCACGGGATGTTGGGGTCACTGGATGTTGGGGTTACTGGATGTTAGTTGGGGTCACGGGATGTTAGTTGGGGTCACTGGATGTTAGTTGGGGTCACTGGATGTTAGTTGGGGTCACGGGATGTTGGGGTTACTGGATGTTGGGGTTACTGGATGTTAGTTGGGGTCACGGGATGTTAGTTGGGGTCACTGGATGTTAGTTGGGGTCACTGGATGTTAGTTGGGGTCACTGGATGTTAGTTGGGGTCACTGGATGTAAGTTGGGGTCACGGGATGTTGGGGTCACTGGATGTTGGGGTTACTGGATGTTAGTTGGGGTCACGGGATGTTAGTTGGGGTCACTGGATGTTAGTTGGGGTCACTGGATGTTAGTTGGGGTCACTGGATGTTAGTTGGGGTCACTGGATGTTAGTTGGGGTCACTGGATGTTAGTTGGGGTCACTGGATGTTAGTTGGGGTTACGGGATGTTGGGGTCACTGGATGTTAGTTGGGGTCACGGGATGTTAGTTGGGGTCACTGGATGTTAGTTGGGGTCACTGGATGTTAGTTGGGGTCACTGGATGTTAGTTGGGGTCACTGGATGTTAGTTGGGGTCACGGGATGTTAGTTGGGGTCACTGGATGTTAGTTGGGGTCACGGGATGTTAGTTGGGGTCACGGGATGTTGGGGTCACTGGATGTTAGTTGGGGTCACGGGATGTTGGGGTCACGGGATGTTGGGGTCACTGGATGTTAGTTGGGGTCACGGGATGTTGGGGTCACTGGATGTTAGTTGGGGTCACTGGATGTTAGTTGGGGTCACGGGATGTTGGGGTCACTGGATGTTAGTTGGGGTCACTGGATGTTAGTTGGGGTCACGGGATGTTGGGGTCACGTGACGGGTCAACATGAAGCTAAAGTCTGGCGCATGTACTTGACCACCATCTGGTGCAGAGATGGATGGTCTGTCATCCATCATATGACGTATATCTGGTTATCTCAAGGTCGTTGTGTGGGCTGGCAGTGGCATTGAGGGGGAGGGGCGGAGATGGATGAGATGAACGGGTGCATCTTCGACGCGGCAGACATTTTTAAAAACTTTCAATACAATACTAACTGTCGAGAAAACCAAGAAACGTTTCTTTGTTACTTTTGAATTAAAAGAACTTGTTCACAAATTCACGCGATTTTGGCCGCACCCTACCTAGCGACGCCACTGTATATTAATAACAGTGGCAGGGGAACTGCACCTACAATTTGGTGTTTGGTGTTTGGGCTGGGTATGTGATGTGTGACGTATGATGCAGGCTCAATGGATTGGCAGGGGAACTGCACCTACAATTTGGTGTTTGGTGTTTGGTGTTTGGGCTGGGTATGTGATGTATGACATATGATGCAGGCTCAATGGATTGCACCTAATGTGCCACCTATAGTTTGGTGTTTGGGCTGGGTATGTGATGTATGACATATGATGCAGGCTCAATGGATTGACCCAATGTTCCACCTATAGTTTGGTGTTTGGGCTGGGTATGTGATGTATGACGTATGATGCAGGCTCAATGGATTGACCCAATGTTCCACCTATAGTTTGGTGTTTGGCCTGGGTATGTGATGTATGACGTATGATGCAGGCTCAATGGATTGACCCAATGTTCCACATATAGTTTGGTGTTTGGGCTGGGTATGTGATGTATGACATATGATGCAGGCTCAATGGATTGACCCAATGTTCCACCTATAGTTTGGTGTTTGGGCTGGGTATGTGATGTATGTTTGGTGTTTGGGCTGGGTATGTGATGTATGACATATGATGTATGACATATGATGTATGACATATGATGCAGGCTCAATGGATTGCACCCAATGTGCCACGCTGCTGTGTAAAAAAAAAGTAGCCTCTGATGTAAAAGATTTCTGGCGACGCCTGTAACCACGAACCTCATGGCTTATCGCCCTTAGCGTTTTGTGACCTCCCCGCGACAGATTTAGAACCGCTGACGAAATAGTCGTGCGGTACCGATCAATTAGTCCGCCACTACAATAGCGCGAACTATTTTTACGCAGTGACCTAGATCCGATGAAAAGTTAACTTCTGGCTAGCGTGTAGGCCTACATTCCATAATCCCATCGGATTTAGCTCTGTTTTTACATTTTCAAAATAAACTTTTTTTATATATCAATAAATACAGTAATCGTGATATCCCTTGGTCTCAGTGTGCTATAAAACTTTGATTACTTAAGCGATTCTATTCTTAGCGGATCGTGCTTTGGAAAACCCCTTGAATTTCTATTTATAGTAACGAGTTGTTGTATTTTTTTGGTTGATGGATCCGGGCAAGTGATTGATAATTCTGGCCCATAATTACCAGTAGAGTCAAATTTAAAACGGGCCGCCTGAGTTCTCAGTTTGATTCGTGTCACGTTTTGCTGTGTGTTAGCACACAGTGAGAGACGAGTGTGTATGTGTAGAGGGGAACAGTCAGCACAGTGTGTAGCTGGTGTGTAGCTGGATAACCCGTGGATTACTTCTTTGTGTCGTGGTGGATGTTAAGTGGTCACAACACATCCAGTCAAGATGGTAAGTTACTTTAGCTGACTTTGTTCATGTGACTTGGTTAATGTGACTTGGTTAGTCAACTGACACAGTTGTTGACTTGGATAAAAAGTTTGTCAATGTTTGTTAGACGTGTCTTCGCTTCATTGATCCGGTACGTTTAGGAAAAATTGGGGCAAGTTGTTGGCTCATTTTTTCTGTGTCGTCTGCTTGTAGAAATACTTCCTCCCATCAGAAGCCAGTCTGTCAGTTGTTTTGCCCTAGCTTTTGGTGTGGATGTAGGTGACAGATGACTTGACAACTGACAGATGACTTGACAACTGACAGATGACTTGACAACTGACAGATGACTTGACAACTGTGTCAACCAGTCATCCTGCCGTGTCATGTCACACACAGACGTAACGACGTGTCTAAACTTTGACGTCATCTGACAAGATCTGCACTCAAACCGATGACTGGGACATTTTTAGTGGGGTCAAGTCTAGGGTCAAGTCTAGGGTCAAGTCAAGGGTCAAGTCTAGGGTCGAGTCTAGGGTCAAGTCTAGGGTCAAGTCTAGGGTCGAGTCGGGTCAAGTCTAGGGTCGAGTCTAGGGTCAAGTCTAGGGTCAAGTCTAGGGTCGAGTCGGGTCAAGTCTAGGGTCGAGTCTAGGATCAAGTCAGTCATTAGACCGTATGTGTGCACTGGCATTTACTAACCTTGAAATAAAATAAATGTGTGTACACAAGTCCTTGTGTGATTTAAAGTTGGGATCACGACAAATTGTGGGATCACGACAAATTGTGGGATCACGACAAATTGTGGGACCACGACAAATTGTGGGACCACGACAAATTGTTGGATCACGACAAATTGTGGGATCACGACAAATTGTGGGATCACGACAAATTGTGGGACCACGACAAATTGTGGGATCGGGGAAAAAACAAAGCAGGAAGTGGATTCAAGCCTGGTGTTGAAGCTGTCCCGTTAGTTCCGCTCACACATTTATTTCCGTGTCTAACCATCACCTCCCCCACAACTTTCCGTGTCTAACCCTCCCCCTCACCTCCCCCTCACCTCCCCCCCCCTCAGGACTTTAGCCACTGGACTGTGAAGAGGTTCCCACTGTCACGCTCCACTGACTGCACACAACACTTGGACCCTCACATGGGTTGACACCCGGACCCCAGATATGTATGTGCCGACCCAATGCTATCGCCTCCCCCCCCAGTAACGTGCCTACCCCACCCCCAGGAATGTGCTAGACCCCCCCAGGAATGTGCTAGACCCCCCAACCCCCCTCCCACCCCCAGGAATGTGCTAGTCCCCCCCCCCCCCACCCAGGAGTGTGCCGACCCCCCCCCCCCCCCCCCAGGAATGTGCTAGACCCCCCACCCCCAGGAATGTGCCTACCCCCAATGATCCCTCCTTATCTTTACTGTGACCTTGACCCCAGATTGATTTCTCGCCCTGGATATCAACCCGGATTTGTTTTCAGTATCTGATCACTTGACACACTGTGTACCGGGGTAGCTACGTCTGTTGGTCGCTACGTCTGTTGGTCGCTACGTCTGTTGGTCGCTACGTCTGTTGGTCGCTACGTCTGTTGGTCGCTACGTCTGTTGGTCGCTACGTCTGTTGGTCGCTACGTCTGTTGGTCGCTACGTCTGTTGGTCGCTACGTCTGTTGGTCGCTACGTCTGTTGGTCGCTACGTCTGTTGGTCGCTACGTCTGTTTGTCGCTACGTCTGTTGGTCGCTACGTCTGTTGGTCGTCTGTTGGTCGCTACGTCTGTTGGTCGCTACGTCTGTTGGAGGGGAGAGAATGTCTGGTGGAGCGGCGATAAAGTGAGAGACGGGCCACCCCCCCCCCCACCCCTCCCTGCACCATTACCTACAGGCAACATGGGGGTCATGTGCTACACACATACACGACACACTCGTGTGACCTGTCAAGTGTGACGTAGCTGAAGGAAGTGATATACGACACGTCAACGTCAACTTTTATGGCAATCATATAGTAGGTACACGGCCAAGACTTGTTTGTAGGTCAGTGGCCAAGACTTGTTTGTAGGTCAGTGGCCAAGACTTGTTTGTAGGTCAGTGGCCAAGACTTGTTTGTAGGTCAGTGGCCAAGGCTTGTTTGTAGGTCAGTGGCCAAGACTTTTTTGTAGGTCAGTGGCCAAGACTTGTTTGTAGGTCAGTGGCCAAGACTTTTTTGTAGGTCAGTGGCCAAGATATTGTTTGTAGGTCAGTGACCAAGATATTGTTTGTAGGTCAGTGGCCAAGACTTGTTTGTAGGTCAGTGGCCAAGACTTGTTTGTAGGTCAGTGGCCAAGATATTGCTCCTCCTACATCTGTCCTGATCAGTTTTCTGTAAACATAGTCAGGACGTTATGGACGTATCACATACAACTGTGACGTGTGACATACAACTGTGACGTGTGACATACAACTGTGACGTGTGACATACAACTGTGACGTGTGACATACAACTGTGACGTGCCGCCTGTTGATAGACAAATATATCTGGCATGTGACCAACTCTAATGATACACCCTGGGGTGGCATGACCTGCTGATACACCCTGGGGTGGCATGACCTGCTGATACACCCTGGGGTGGCATGACCTGCTGATACACCCTGGGGTGGCATGACCTGCTGATACACCCTGGGGTGGCATGACCTGCTGATACACCCTGGGGTGGCATGACCTGCTGATACACCCTGGGGTGGCATGACCTGCTGATACACCCTGGGGTGGCATGACCTGCTGAGACACCCTGGGGTGGCATGACCTGCTGAGACACCCTGGGGTGATATGGCCTAGGTAAGCATGTCAACTGATCCAGCCCCCAAAAACCATATCGTAACACAAAATTTGGCAAGTCAAGCGTGAAATGTTCCAGTCTGCTGATCTGCATAGATCACGTCACGTGTGCTTAAGTACAGGTTCTCTGCTGAAGAAGGAACTCGGTCACCTTACAATCTTGTCACCTTACAATCTTGTCACCTTACAATCTTGTCACCTTACAATCTTGTCACCTTACAATCTTGTCACCTTACAATCTTGTCACCTTACAATCTTGTCACCTTACAATCTTGTCACCTTACAATCTTGTCACCTTACAATCTTGTCACCTTACAATCTTGTCACCTTACAATCTTGTCACCTTACAATCTTGTCACCTTACAATCTTGTCACCTTACAATCTTGTCACCTTACAATCTTGTCACCTTACAATCCGAATGTCGGACTACGAATGTCGGACTACGAATGTCGGACTACGAATGTCGGACTACGAATGTCGGACTACGAATGTCGGACTACGAATGTCGGACTACGAATGTCGGACTACGAATGTCGGACTACGAATGTCGGACTACGAATGTCGGACTACGAATGTCGGACTACGAATGTCGGACTACGAATGTCGGACTACGAATGTCGGACTACGAATGTCGGACTACGAATGTCGGACGGACCATATTGGACCTACAGATGTGACATCGTGCCTCCACCCCCCCCCCCCCCCCCCCCCACGCGATTTTAAAAATAATTTCCCCTGCTAATTAATAATTACGCCAGATCGAAATAATTAATAATAAATACTGAGGGGAAGGATCCTAAGGGGAAGGGGGTGTAGACATTATACAGTGGGGAAGGGGGGTAAAGACATTATACAGTGGGGAGGGGGGGTATAGACATATTGTGGGGAAGTGGGGTACATTATACAGTGGGGAGGGGGTATAGACATATTGTGGGGAGGATGGGGGTGTAGACATACTGTGGGGAGGGGGTGTTCACGGGCGTAGCGACATTCTGCTGATCCAACCTGTGAATAAAGCGCCATTTTTTACCGTCCCAATGTGTCACATGTAGACCCTCGTCTGGGCCACACATTCCAAGTGTGCGGGTTGTGGGGTGGTTGTGGGGTGGTTGTGGGGTGGTTGGCCTCCCACTTCAGTCCACTGACAGACGGGTCTTAGTGCGGAGTTCTAGTGCCGGTGCTAAAATGTCAGGCAGTGGATCAGACCTCGATGATGACGTAAGTTAGCTCAAAACATCGTTCATCCCTACTTTGTCTATCCCTACAAAGTTCAGATTTCCTTTCTGTCTGTCTGTCTGTCTGTCTGTCTGTCTGTCTGTCTGTCTGTCTGTCTGTCTGTCCCTTCAAAGTTCAGATTTCCTGTCTGTCTGTCTGTCTCTTCAAAGTTCAGATTTCCTGTCTGTCTGTCTGTCTGTCTGTCCCTACAAAGTTCAGATTTCCCGTCTGTCTGTCTGTCCCTTCAAAGTTCAGATTTCCTGTCTGTCTGTCTCTTCAAAGTTCAGATTTCCTGTCTGTCTGTCTGTCTCTTCAAAGTTCAGATTTCCTGTCTGTCTGTCTGTCTGTCTCTTCAAAGTTCAGATTTCCTGTCTGTCTGTCTGTCTGTCTGTCCCTTCAAAGTTCAGATTTCCGGTCTGTCTGTCTCTTCAAAGTTCAGATTTCCTGTCTGTCTGTCTGTCTGTCTGTCTGTCTCTTCAAAGTTCAGATTTCCTGTCTGTCTGTCTGTCCCTTCAAAGTTCAGATTTCCTTTCTGTCTGTCTGTGTAGTGAAGGGGGGTGAATGTTGTTGTTATTTGGTACCCTATCTTGTTCGTCCTTGTTCAGTTCTCGTGCTGTGAGCTGTAAAAGTCCGGTTTGTTCCAGTTTATGAAATAGTGTATAAGGTGTATGAAAACTTGTGTGATTGCCTCAGTTTCGTCCAAATCACCATGGTTAGTGTAGGTTAGGTTTAGATTAATTGTTAGCCACTAGCTTGTGTGTTTTGTGTTTAGACTAGACTGTTATGTGTTGATAGTGTATATACTATTAAATTATTTTACTTTCAACGAGCCTTTGTTTCATTCAGTGTTGTTTGTCTGTTTGTCTTACATGTTGCGCTACGCATCGGATCACCCGAAAGGCGTGTCCGTGTGTTCATAACAGTCTGTCCCTTCTAAGTTCAGATTTCCTGTCTGTTGTGTGTAGGTTGTGTGTAGGTTGTGTGTAGGTTTCATATGCGCATTCACCGAACTCTTCTTAATAATTCTATCGTCGACACTAAAAAAGATCCCGTTCGTGAATCATGTCTTGACCCCCTGAGTCTCCCTACCAGACTGCCCCCCCTCCAGCAAATATTTAGACTGACCTTGACCCTTCTGTCCCCAGAAGCAGACGACCCGCTGGAATCCCCAGTCCTCCACACAGATCAACGCAGCCGGAAGTCGCCGGAACAGTGCCATGCCGGGCACCGGCTTTATCCGGGTCAAGCTGCTCCAGGCTGAGGTCAGCCCCGGGCCGGACCCGGAAGATCCGTTCCTGGCGGTCAATGTCAAGGAGTCCACAGAGATCCCAGGTACACTCACATTGACACCTCATTGACACCTCATTGACACCTCACTCTCATTCATTCCAACGATCATTAACGCGCCAAATTAATTTACAAGTTACTCTAAAATTAAAAAGTCATTAACACCTTAGTCCAATCAATTGAAACGACCCACCCCCCCCCCTCCACCCCTCCGCAGGGCGTGGCGTCCAGCTAGTCCAGAGGAAGAAGACGCTCTACCCCAAGTGGAACTCCTGCTTCGATGCTCACCTCTACGACGGCCGCGTCATCCAGATGATTCTCATGGAGAAGCCAAACAAGAGCATCGCGGAGATCAGCATCGGCGCCAAGATGTTGGCGGACAGGTGTAATGGGGGCACCACCAGCGGGCCCATTTGGGTGAGTAGACAGGTGTAATGGGGGCACCACCAGCGGGCCCATTTGAGTGAGTAGACAGGTGTAATGGGGGAACCACCAGCGGGCCCATTTGGGTGAGTAGACTGGTGTAATGGAGGCACCATTTGGGTGGGTAGACAGGTGTAATGGGGGGTACCATTTGGGTGGGTAGACAGGTGTAATGGGGCCACCATTTGGGTGGGTAGACAGGTGTAATGGGGGCATCACCAGCGGTCCCATTTGGGTGATTGAACCAAACTTGTGGATTGAACCAACCTTGTGGATTGAACCAAACTTGTGGATTGAACCAAACTTGTGGATCGAACCAAACTTGTGGATCGAACCAACCTTGTGGATTGAACCAAACATGTGGATTGAACCAACCTTGTGGATTGAACCAACCTTGTGGATTGAACCAAACTTGTGGATTTAACCAAACTTGTGGATTGAACCAAACTTGTGGATTGAACCAAACTTGTGGATTGAACCAAACTTGTGGATTGAACCAAACTTGTGGATTGAACCAAACTTGTGGATTGAACCAACCTTGTGGATTGAACCAAACTTGTGGATTGAACCAACCTTGTGGATTGAACCAAACTTGTGGATTGAACCAAACTTGTGGATTGAACCAACCTTGTGGATTGAACCAAACTTGTGGATTGAACCAACCTTGTGGATTGAACCAACCTTGTGTATTGAACCAAACTTGTGGATTGAACCAACCTTGTGGATTGAACCAACCTTGTGGATTGAACCAACCTTGTGTATTGAACCAAACTTGTGGATTGAACCAACCTTGTGGATTGAACCAACCTTGTGGATTGAATCAAACAGAATGAAGTCAAGTCGACTGTAGCAATGTTAGAAGTGTAGTTGCTTAAAAAGGTCACATCCTGTCACTCAGTCATGCGCAGTCAGACAAACCAAATTGAGCAGACGACTAAAACCTCGTTTGAAACCAATCGGACTTGACGTCTGCTGGTAGGGATGAAACAAGCTGCCGACTGGGAAATTAGAAATGGCGACAAAACGTTCAGTCGTCTGCCTTAATTTCCAATCGACTCGTCTGTTCCCCACCCCGCCAAATTTGATCAAAGATTTGAAATAGACGAGTCCAGATTAGTTGTATTCAAATAGCCTCACCACCTCTCACCCCTGCCCTATGCAAGAATCTACAGATAGTTTATAAATTCTCTTCAGTAGAGATGGAGTTGTCGTGATGTTGTTGTCGTGATGTTGTTGTCGTGATGTGGTTGCCGTGATGTTGTTGCCGTGATGTGGTTGTGGTGATGTTGTTGTTGTGATGTTGTTGTGGTGATGTTGTTGTCGTGATGTGGTTGCCGTGATGTGGTTGTCGTGATGTGGTTGTCGTGACGTGGTTGTCGTGATGTTGTTGTCGTGATGTGGTTGTCGTGATGTTGTTGTCGTGATGTGGTTGCCGTGATGTGGTTGTGATGTGGTTGTGATGTGGTTGCCGTGATGTGGTTGTCATTATGTGGTTGTCATGATGTGGTTGTCGTGACGTGGTTGTCGTGATGTTGTTGTCGTGATGTTGTTGTTGTGATGTTGTTGTTGTGATGTTGTTGACGTGATGTGGTTGTGATGTGGTTGTGATGTGGTTGTGATGTGGTTGTCGTGATGTGGTTGTCGTGATGTGGTTGTCGTGATGTTGTTGACGTGATGGTGTTGTCGTGATGTTGTTGCCGTGATGTTGTTGACGTGATGTGGTTGCCGTGATGTTGTTGCCGTGATGTTGTTGTCGTGATGTGGTTGTGATGTTGTTGCCGCGATGTGGTTGTCGTGATGTTGTTGCCGTGATGTTGTTGCCGTGATGTGGTTGTCGTGATGTGGTTGTCGTGATGTTGTTACCGTGATGTTGTTACCGTGATGTGGTTGTCGTGATGTTGTTACCGTGATGTTGTTGACGTGATGTGGTTGCCGTGATGTTGTTGACGTGATGTTGTTGACGTGATGTGGTTGTGATGTTGTTGCCGCGATGTGGTTGTCGTGATGTTGTTGCCGTGATGTTGTTGCCGTGATGTTGTTGCCGTGATGTTGTTGCCGTGATGTGGTTGTCGTGATGTTGTTGCCGTAATGTTGTTGCCGTGATGTTGTTGACGTGATGTTGTTGCCGTGATGTGGTTGTCGGGATGTGGTTGTCGTGATGTTGTTGCCGTGTTGTGGTTGTCGTGATGTTGTTGCCGTGATGTTGTTGCCGTGATGTTGTTGCCGTGATGTTGTTGCCGTGATGTTGTTGCCGTGATGTGGTTGTCGGGATGTGGTTGTCCCGATGTTGTTGCCGCGATGTGGTTGTCGTGATGTTGTTGCCGTGATGTTGTTGTCGTGATGTGGTTGTTGTGATGTTGTTGCCGTAATGTTGTTGTGATGTTGTGAAACAAGTCATTGTCCCACCTGTTATTATTTCATATTTGTGTCACCCCAAAAGGTGATAACAGCCATGTCATCTGTCTGATGTGTCACAACACTTGTGTCATCTGACATGAGCGGGTGTCTACGTCATGTGTCTCAAGTCACATGTCTCAAGTCACATGTCTCAAGTCACATGTCTCAAGTCACATGTCACATCTTTAAAGTCACATGGGACATGTTTAAAGTCACATGGGACATGTTTAAAGTCACGTGGGACATGTTTAAAGTCACGTGGGACATGTCTGAAGTCATATGTCACATGTCTGAAGTCACATGTCACATGTCTGAAGTCACATGTCACATGTCTGAAGTCACATGTCACATGTCTAAAGTCATATGTCACATGTCTGAAGTCACATGTCTGAAGTCACAATGTCGTCTGTCCCCAGTTGGATCTGAAGCCGTCCGGTCGTCTGCAGATCCTGGTCAGATTTTACCCGGAGACCAACGGAGGTGAGTACTGGCCTCGTGACCTGCTGACCTAGAATATTTAATCAGTCGGAGCTGAGTATTACATCAACAAGTCCTGAAATATCTTCAACTGGTACATTTTGATGTCATGTCCTGTACATGTCATGTCCTGTAGATGCCATGTCCTGTAGATGCCATGTCCTGTAGATGCCATGTCCTGTAGATGTCATGTCCTGTAGATGCCATGTCCTGTAGATGTCATGTCCTGTAGATGCCATGTCCTGTAGATGACATGTCCTGTGGATGACATGTCCTGTAGATGTCCTCTACTCCACAGACGAGATGATCCCCACCCAAAAGCAACAGTTTGTCCGGCGTGGTGCCATGAAGCAGCAGAAGGTTCACGAGGTCAAAGGTCACCAGTTCATAGCCAAGTTCTTCAGGTCCCCGACCTACTGTTCTTTCTGCACCGAGTTCTTATGGTGAGTACATCAAGTGTATCTGTTCTTATGGTGAGTACATCAAGTGTATCTGTTCTTATGGTGAGTACATCAAGTGTATCTGTTCTTATGGTGAGTACATCAAGTGTATCTGTTGTTATGGTGAGTACATCAAGTGTATCTGTTCTTATGGTGAGTACATCAAGTGTATCTGTTCTTATGGTGAGTACTTCAAGTGTATCTGTTCTTATGGTGAGTACATCAAGTGTATCTGTTCTTATGGTGAGTACATCAAGTGTATCTGTTCTTATGGTGAGTACATCAAGTGTATCTGTTCTTATGGTGAGTACATCAAGTGTATCTGTTCTTATGGTGAGTACATCAAGTGTATCTGTTCTTATGGTGAGTACATCAAGTGTATCTGTTCTTATGGTGAGTACATCAAGTGTATCTGTTCTTATGGTGAGTACATCAAGTGTATCTGTTCTTATGGTGAGTACATCAAGTGTATCTGTTCTTATGGTGAGTACATCAAGTGTATCTGTTCTTATGGTGAGTACATCAAGTGTATCTGTTCTTATGGTGAGTACATCAAGTGTATCTGTTCTTATGGTGAGTACATCAAGTGTATCTGTTCTTATGGTGAGTACATCAAGTGTATCTGTTCTTATGGTGAGTACATCAAGTGTATCTGTTCTTATGGTGAGTACATCAAGTGTATCTGTTCTTATGGTGAGTACATCAAGTGTATCTGTTCTTATGGTGAGTACATCAAGTGTATCTGTTCTTATGGTGAGTACATCAAGTGTATCTGTTCTTATGGTGAGTACATCAAGTGTATCTGTTCTAATGGTGAGTACATCAAGTGTATCTGTTCTTATGGTGAGTACTTTATAGATTCTCCCAGTTCATCAAGTGTATCTGTTCTTATGGTGAGTACTTTATAGATTCTCCCAGTTCATCAAGTGTATGTTGTACATGAGTACCTTCTCCACCCCACCCCTTCAGACACACACACACACACACACACACACACATTGAAACTGTTTGTTTTTTCTTTATCAGGGGACTGAACAAACAAGGGTACCAATGTCAGAGTAAGTCATATTTCAACTGGCATTTGACATCTTGCTGACCAACTGTGACATGACACTGACCAACTGTGACGTGGCACTGACCAACTGTGACGTGACACTGACCAACTGTGACGTGACACTGACCAACTGTGACGTGACACTGACCAACTGTGACATGACACTCACCAACTGTGACATGACACTGACCAACTGTGACATGTCACTGACCAACTGTGACATGACACTGACCAACGGTGACATGACACTGACCAACTGTGACATGACACTGACCAACTGTGACATGACACTGACCAACTGTCACGTGACACTGACCGTGTGACATCCCTCTCACCAGTGTGCAACTGTGCCGTCCACAAGAAGTGCCACGACAAAATTTTGGGAAAATGTCCCGGCAACGCTAAAGACAGTCGTGAAACCATGGTGAGACATGTGTGGATTGTGGGGGCGTGTGGGGTAGTGCTTGTGTGGGACGAGTGTGTGGTGTGGTGTCGCAGGTGGTGTGGTGTCGCTGGTGGTGTGGCTGGTGGTGTGGTGTGGCTGGTGGTGTGGCTGGTGGTGTGTGGTGTGGCTGGTGGTGTGTGGTGTGGTGTCGCTGGTGGTGTGGTGTCGCTGGTGGTGTGGCTGGTGGTGTGGTGTGGCTGGTGGTGTGTGGTGTGGCTGGTGGTGTGGTGTCGCTGGTGGTGTGGCTGGTGGTGTGGCTGGTGGTGTGGTGTGGTGTCGCTGGTGGTGATGCTGGTGGTGTGTGGTGTGGCTGGTGGTGTGGCTGGTGGTGTGGTGTGGCTGGTGGTGTGTGGTGTGGTGTGGCTGGTGGTGTGGCTGGTGGTGTGGCTGGTGGTGTGGTGTGGCTGGTGGTGTGGCTGGTGGTGTGGCTGGTGGTGTGGTGTGGCTGGTGGTGTGTGGTGTGGTGTGGCTGGTGGTGTGTGGTGTGGTGTGGCTGGTGGTGTTTGGTGTGGTGTAACTGGTGGTGTGTGGTGTGGCTGGTGGTGTGTGGTGTGGCTGGTGGTGTGTGGTGTGGCTGGTGGTGTGTGGTGTGGTGTGGTGTGGCTGGTGGTGTTTGTTGTGGTGTGGCTGGTGGTGTGGCTGGTGGTGTGGCTGGTGGTGTGTGGTGTGGTGTGGCTGGTGGTGTGTGGTGTGGCAAGTGGTGTGTGGTGTGGCTGGTGGTGTTTGGTGTGACTGGTGGTGGGTGGTGTGGCTGGTGGTGTGGCTGGTGGTGTGTGGTGTGGCTGGTGGTGTGTGGTGTGGTGTGGCTGGTGGTGTTTGTTGTGGTGTGGCTGGTGTTGTGGCTGGTGGTGGTGTGTGGTGTGGTGTGGCTGGTGGTGTGTGGTGTGGCTGGTGGTGTGTGGTGTGGTGTGGTGTGGCTGTTGGTGTTTGTTGTGGTGTGGCTGGTGGTGTGGCTGGTGGTGTGGTGTGGCTGGTGGTGTGTGGTGTGGCTGGTGGTGTTTGGTGTGACTGGTGGTGGGTGGTGTGGTGTGGCTGGTGGTGTGTGGTGTGGCAAGTGGTGTGTAGTGTGGCTGGTGGTGTGTGGTGTGGCTGGTGGTGTGGCTGGTGGTTTGTGGTGTGGCTGGTGGTGTGTGGTGTGGCTGGTGGTGTGTGGTGTGGCTGGTGGGGTTTGGTGTGGCTGGTGGTGTGGCTGGTGGTGTTTGGTGTGGTGTGGCTGGTGGTGTGTGGTGTGGCTGGTGGTGTGGCTGGTGGTGTTTGGTGTGGTGTGGCTGGTGGTGTGTGGTGTGGTGTGTGGTGTGGCTGGTGGTGGTGTGTGGTGTGGTGTGTGGTGTGGCTGGTGGTGTGTGGTGTGGTGTGTGGTGTGGCTGGTGGTGGTGTGTGGTGTGGCTGGTGGTGTGTGGTGTGGCTGGTGGTGTGTTGTGTGGCTGGTGGTGATGGTGTGGTGTGGCTGGTGGTGTGGCTGGTGGTGTCGCTGGTGGTGTGTGGTGTGGCTGGTGGTGTGGCTGGTGGTGTGGCTGGTGGTGTGTGGTGTCGCTGGTGGTGGTGTGTGGTGTGGCTGGTGGTGTGGCTGGTGGTGTGTGGTGTGGCTGGTGGTGTTTGTTGTGGTGTCGCTGTTGGTGTGTGGTGTGGTGTGGCAAGTGGTGTGTGGTGTGGCTGGTGGTGTGTTGTGTGGCTGGTGGTGATGGTGTGGTGTGGCTGGTGGTGTGGCTGGTGGTGTCGCTGGTGGTGTGTGGTGTGGCTGGTGGTGTGACTGGTGGTGTGGTGTGGTGTCGCTGGTGGTGTGTGGTGTGGTGTGGTGTCGCTGGTGGTGGTGTGTGGTGTGGTGTCGCTGGTGGTGATGTGTGGTGTGGCTAGTGGTGTGGCTGGTGGTGTGGCTGGTGGTGTGTGGTGTGGCTGGTGGTGGTGTGGCTGGTGGTGTGGTGTGGCTGGTGGTGGTGTGGCTGGTGGTGTGGTGTGGTGTCGCTGGTGGTGTGTGGTGTGGTGTGGTGTCACTGGTGGTGGTGTGTGGTGTGGCTAGTAATGTGGCTGGTGGTGTGTGGTGTGGCTGGTGGTGTTTGGTGTGGCTGGTGGTTTGTGGTGTGGCTGGTGGTGTTTGGTGTGGCTGGTGGTTTGTGGTGTGGCTGGTGGTGTGGCTGGTGGTGTGTGGTGTGGCTGGTGGGGTTTGGTGTGGCTGGTGGTGTGTGGTGTGGCTGGCGGTGTGGCTGGTGGTGTGTGGTGTGGCTGGTGGTGTTTGGTGTGGCTGGTGGTTTGTGGTGTGGCTGGTGGTGTGGCTGGTGGTGTGTGGTGTGGCTGGTGGTGTGGCTGGTGGTGTGTGGTGTGGCTGGTGGGGTTTGGTGTGGCTGGTGGTGTGGCTGGTGGTGTGGCTTGTGGTGTGTTGTGTGGCTGGCGGTGTGGCTGGTGGTGGTGTGGCTGGTGGTGTGTGGTGTGGCTGGTGGTGTGGCTGGTGTGGCTGGCAGTGTGTGGTGTCATGTCTCCCAACCATTCCTCTCATCTGTGTGGCAGCTGTTGACTGAGAGGTTCAACATCAACGTACCACACCGTTTCCGCATCAACAACTACATGTCTCCAACCTTCTGTGACCACTGTGGCTCCATGTTGTTCGGGCTCTTTAGGCAGGGCCTCAAGTGTGAAGGTACATCTTAGTCACATCTTGCTTTGTTTTTAGTCGGATGTTTTAGTCACATGTTTTAGTCAGATGTTGGTTTTAGATGGGTGTTTTATTCATATATTTACATCACATCTTAGTGTTAGATGGGTGTTTTATTCATATATTTACATCACATCTTAGTGTTAGATGGGTGTTTTATTCATATATTTACATCACATCTTAGTGTTAGATTAGTGTTTTATTCATATATTTACATCACATCTTAGTGTTAGATGGGTGTTTTATTCATATATTTACATCACATCTTAGTGTTAGATTGGTGTTTTAGATGTTTTATTCATATATTTACATCACATCTTAGTGTTAGATTGGTGTTTTAGATGTTTTATTCATATATTTACATCACATCTTAGTGTTAGATGGGTGTTTTATTCATATATTTACATCACATCTTAGTGTTAGATGGGTGTTTTATTCATATATTTACATCACATCTTAGTGTTAGATGGGTGTTTTATTCATATATTTACATCACATCTTAGTGTTAGATGGGTGTTTTATTCATATATTTACATCACATCTTAGTGTTAGATGGGTGTTTTATTCATATATTTACATCACATCTTAGTGTTAGATGGGTGTTTTATTCATATATTTACATCACATCTTAGTGTTAGATGGGTGTTTTATTCATATATTTACATCACATCTTAGTGTTAGATGGGTGTTTTATTCATATATTTACATCACATCTTAGTGTTAGATGGGTGTTTTATTCATATATTTACATCACATCTTAGTGTTAGATGGGTGTTTTTATTCATAGATTTACATCACATCTTAGTGTTAGATGGGTGTTTTATTCATATATTTACATCACATCTTAGTGTTAGATGGGTGTTTTATTCATATATTTACATCACATCTTAGTGTTAGATTAGTGTTTTATTCATATATTTACATCACATCTTAGTGTTAGATGGGTGTTTTATTCATATATTTACATCACATCTTAGTGTTAGATGGGTGTTTTATTCATATATTTACATCACATCTTAGTGTTAGATGGGTGTTTTATTCATAGATTTACATCACATCTTAGTGTTAGATGGGTGTTTTATTCATATATTTACATCACATCTTAGTGTTAGATGGGTGTTTTATTCATAGATTTACATCACATCTTAGTGTTAGATGGGTGTTTTATTCATATATTTACATCACATCTTAGTGTTAGATTGGTGTTTTAGATGTTTTATTCATATATTTACATCACATCTTAGTGTTAGATTGGTGTTTTAGATGTTTTATTCATATATTTACATCACATCTTAGTGTTAGATGGGTGTTTTATTCATATATTTACATCACATCTTAGTGTTAGATGGGTGTTTTATTCATATATTTACATCACATCTTAGTGTTAGATGGGTGTTTTATTCATATATTTACATCACATCTTAGTGTTAGATGGGTGTTTTATTCATATATTTACATCACATCTTAGTGTTAGATGGGTGTTTTAGATGTCAGATGTTTTAGTCAGACGATTGACCCCCCCCCCCCTCCCCGACTCTCCCCCAGTGTGCGGCATCAACTGCCACAAGAAGTGTAAGATGTACATGCCCAACCTGTGCGGCATCAACCAGAAACTGCTGGCAGAGGCCCTGCAACAGGTCAGGGTGACCACCACACCTGACAAGAAGAAGATGCATCAATCGCCTGTCACAGGCAGTGTAAGTACCTGATACAGGCAGTCTAAGTACCTGTCACCTGTTTAAGTTATGTAAGACCCAAATATAAAACTCTACACATGACTGACTGATTAAACTACTGACCCCCCCCCCCCCACAGACGTCACTGCTGACCCCCGGGGAAGAAGATGAGGACAGCGACAACGACTCCTACCACACCGTATGGGACACAGACGAGGTTCCCAGCAGTCTGGTGGCGCCAGCTGTACAGCTCAGGAAGTTCAAGGCCGAGGAATTCAACTTTCTCAAGGTGCTAGGCAAAGGCAGCTTTGGCAAGGTGGGTTTTACTGGCCATGTGTAGGGGGGTTTTACTGGCCATGTGTAGGTGGGTTTTACTGGCCATCTGTAGGTGGGTTTTACTGGCCATCTGTAGGTGGGTTTTACTGGCCATCTGTAGGTGGGTTTTACTGGCCATCTGTAGGTGGGTTTTACTGGCCATGTGTAGGGGGGTTTTACTGGCCATCTGTAGGTGGGTTTTACTGGCCATCTGTTTTATGGGTTTTACTGGCCATGTGTAGGTGGGTTTTACTGGCCATCTGTTTTATGGGTTTTACTGGCCATGTGTAGGTGGGTTTTACTGGCCATGTGTAGGGGGGTTTTACTGGCCATCTGTAGGTGGGTTTTACTGGCCATGTGTAGGTGGGTTTTACTGGCCATCTGTAGGTGGGTTTTACTGGCCATCTGTAGGTGGGTTTTACTGGCCATCTGTAGGTGGGTTTTACTGGCCATGTGTAGGGGGGTTTTACTGGCCATCTGTAGGTGGGTTTTACTGGCCATGTGTAGGTGGGTTTTTGTGGCCATCTGTAGGTGGGTTTTACTGGCCATCTGTTTTATGGGTTTTACTGGCCATGTGTAGGTGGGTTTTACTGGCCATCTGTTTTATGGGTTTTACTGGCCATGTGTAGGTGGGTTTTACTGGCCATCTGTAGGTGGGTTTTACTGGCCATCTGTAGGTGGGTTTTACTGGCCATCTGTTTTATGGGTTTTACTGGCCATCTGTAGGTGGGTTTGACTGGCCATCTGTTTTATGGGTTTTACTGGCCATGTGTAGGTGGGTTTTACTGGCCATGTGTAGGGGGGTTTTACTGGCCATGTGTAGGTGGGTTTTACTGGCCATGTGTAGGTGGGTTTTACTGGCCATCTGTAGGTGGGTTTTACTGGCCATCTGTAGGTGGGTTTTAGTGGCCATCTGTAGGTGGGTTTTACTGGCCATCTGTAGGTGGGTTTTACTGGCCATCTGTAGGTGGGTTTTACTGGCCATGTGTAGGTGGGTTTTACTGGCCATCTGTAGGTGGGTTTTACTGGCCATGTGTAGGTGGGTTTTACTGGCCATCTGTAGGTGGGTTTTACTGGCCATCTGTAGGTGGGTTTTACTGGCCATGTGTAGGTGGGTTTTACTGGCCATCTGTAGGTGGGTTTTACTGGCCATGTGTAGGTGGGTTTTACTGGCCATCTGTTTTATGGGTTTTACTGGCCATGTGTAGGTGGGTTTTTGTGGCCATCTGTAGGTGGGTTTTTGTGGCCATCTGTTTTATGGGTTTTACTGGCCATGTGTAGGTGGGTTTTACTGGCCATCTGTTTTATGGGTTTTACTGGCCATGTGTAGGTGGTTTTTACTGGCCATCTGTAGGTGGTTTTTACTGGCCATCTGTAGGTGGGTTTTACTGGCCATCTGTAGGTGGGTTTTTGTGGCCATCTGTAGGTGGGTTTTACTGGCCATGTGTAGGTGGGTTTTACTGGCCATCTGTAGGTGGGTTTTACTGGCCATCTGTAGGTGGGTTTTACTGGCCATCTGTAGGTGGGTTTTACTGGCCATCTGTAGGTGGGTTTTACTGGCCATCTGTAGGTGGGTTTTACTGGCCATCTGTAGGTGGGTTTTACTGGCCATCTGTAGGTGGGTTTTACTGGCCATCTGTAGGTGGGTTTTACTGGCCATCTGTAGGTGGGTTTTACTGGCCATCTGTAGGTGAGTTTTACTGGCCATCTGTAGGTGGGTTTTACTGGCCATCTGTAGGTGGGTTTTACTGGCCATCTGTAGGTGGGTTTTACTGGCCATCTGTAGGTGGGTTTTACTGGCCATCTGTAGGTGAGTTTTACTGGCCATCTGTAGGTGGGTTTTACTGGCCGTGTTTAGATTCCTGATTTGCCCATGATCTGTGTTTGATCAGGTGATCCTGGCTGAGCTGAAAGAGAGCGGGACCTACTTCGCCATCAAGGCCCTGCGTAAGGACGTGGTCCTGGAGGACGATGACGTGGAGTGCACTATGATAGAGAAGCGGGTGCTGGCCATTGGCTGCAAACATCCTTTCCTCACCCACCTGCACAGCACTTTTCAGAGCAAGGTAACATATAGGACATACAGCAGGATACAATCAGCAAGACATATATATGTGTCTAGATTATTGTTGACATATATAGAGCAGGACATGTGTCTAGATTATTGTTGTCCATGTTATCCATTTGATCATGTGCCTATATGATTTTTTCACTGTGACCATGTATCTATGTCCATGTATCTGTCTATTTTTCTATATGTACATGTATCTATGTCTATATGTCCATGTTTCTATATATCCATGTATCTATGTCTATTTTTCGATATGTCCATGTATCTGTTTCTATATATCCATGTATCTATATTCTATGTCTATTTTTTTATATGTCCATGTATCTATGTTTCTATATATCCATGTATCTATGTCTATTTTTCTATATATCCATGTATCTATATATCCATGTATCTATGTTTCTATATGTCCATGTTTCCAATATGTCCATGTATCTATGTCTATTTTTCTATATGTCCATGTATCTATGTCTATGTATCTATATGTCCATGCCATGTATCTATGTCTATGCGTGCCTATCCCCCCACAGAGCCACCTGTTTTTTGTCATGGAGTACCTGAATGGAGGTGACCTGATGTTCCACATCCAAGTCTCAGGAAAGTTTGATTTCTCCCGAGCTCAGTGAGTCATTTTTTACTCCGGCAAAAAGTACATTTGTAAGTCCCAGGTTCAAACCCCAGCTAGATGAGTCGCAGAGCTGGATCAGCAACCCTACATTTGTAAGTCCCAGGTTCAGCACCATCAAGGAGAGATAACTCCTAACTCAAACAACTGCTGTACTGTAGTTTGTTCTTGGATGGACAAAGGCTATGGGGGCAGATCCAGACAGAAAAGCAGGAAGTAAGGCTAGCCAACAGGGGGCAGACAACAGGGGGCAGACAACAGGGGGCAGACAACAGGGGGGCAGACAACAGGGGGCAGACAACAGGGGGCAGAGAACAGGGGGCAGAGAACAGGGGGCAGACAACAGGAGGCAGACAACAGGGGGCAGACAACAGGGGGCAGCCAACAGGGGGCAGAGAACAGGGGGCAGAGAACAGGGGGCAGACAACAGGAGGCAGCCAACAGGGGGCAGAGAACAGGGGGCAGAGAACAGGGGGCAGAGAACAGGGTGCAGACAACAGGGGGCAGACAACAGGGGGCAGACAACAGGGGGCAGACAACAGGGGGCAGACAACAGGGGGCAGACAACAGGGGGCAGAGAACAGGGGGCAGAGAACAGGGGGCAGACAACAGGGGGCAGACAACAGGGGGCAGACAACAGGGGGCAGACAACAGGCCAAATGGCAAATAACATGTTGATACATGCTATGGATCATGAAAGAGGGTCACTATACCATTTAAGGGGGTTACTTTACCACGTAAATGGGATGACTTTACCATTCAAGGGGTTATTATGTCATAAAAAGTCATCAGGTAATTCTGTGGCTCACAAGATTTTAAAACCTTTCCTCAGATTTTTTAAAAATTTCCTCAGATTTTTTTTATTTCCTCAGATTTTATGCAGCTGAGATAGTCTGTGGACTTCAGTTTCTACACAAAAATGGAATCATTTACAGGTAGGTTCATGTTTACAGGTAGGTTCATGTTTACATGTAGGTTCATGTATACAAGTAGGTTCATATTTACAAGTAGGTTCATATTTACAAGTAGGTTCATATTTACAAGTAGGTTCATGTTTACAGGTAGGTTCATGTTTACAGGTAGGTTCATGTTTACAGTTACAGGTAGGTTCATGTTTACAGGTAGGTTCATGTTTACAAGTAGGTTCATATTTACAAGTAGGTTCATGTTTACAAGTAGGTTCATGTTTACAGTTACAGGTAGGTTCATGTTTACAAGTAGGTTCATGTTTACAGGTAGGTTCATGTTTACAGGTAGGTTCATATTTACAAGTAGGTTCATGTTTACAAGTAGGTTCATGTTTACAAGTAGGTTCATATTTACAAGTAGGTTCATGTTTACAGGTAGGTTCATGTTTACAAGTAGGTTCATATTTACAAGTAGGTTCATATTTACAGGTACATATTTACAGGTAGGTTCATATTTACAGGTAGGTTCATATTTACAAGTAGGTTCATGTTTACAGGTAGGTTCATGTTTACAAGTAGGTTTATATTTACAAGTAGGTTCATATTTACAGGTACATATTTACAGGTAGGTTCATATTTACAGGTAGGTTCATATTTACAAGTAGGTTCATGTTTACATGTAGGTTCATGTTTACAAGTAGGTTCATATTTACATGTAGGTTCATGTTTACAAGTAGGTTCATGTTTACAAGTAGGTTCATGCTTACAAGTAGGTTCATGTTTACATGTAGGTTCATGTTTACAAGTAGGTTCATGTTTACAGGTAGGTTCATGTTTACAGGTAGGTTCATGTTTACAAGTAGGTTCATGTTTACAAGTAGGTTCATGTTTACAGAGATCTGAAGCTGGATAATGTGATGCTGGACAAAGATGGTCACATCAAGATTGCTGACTTTGGCATGTGCAAAGAGAAAATTTTTGGAGAAAATCGTGCTTCAACTTTTTGTGGGACCCCAGACTACATAGCCCCAGAGGTAACTTGTAGCTATCAGGCTACATAGCCCCAAAGTTAACCCGTGCTTATTGAACTCAACATAAATCTGTTGGTGATTTGTCTACAGATTTTAAAAGGTGCCAAATACAACGCCTCTGTGGACTGGTGGTCATTTGGTGTTTTGTTGTACGAGATGTTGATTGGTCAGTCACCTTTCCACGGCGACGATGAGGACGATCTGTTCCACTCCATCCTCCACGACACGCCCAGATATCCTCATGCCACCGCCAAGGAGGCTGTCACCATGATGAGTCTAGTAAGTCATCTGTTAAATGTCACCATGATGAGTCTAGTAAGTCATCTGTTAAATGTCACCATGATGAGTCTAGTAAGTCATCTGTTAAATGTCACCATGATGAGTCTAGTAAGTCATCTGTTAAATGTCACCATGATGAGTCTAGTAAGTCATCTGCTAAATGTCACCATGATGAGTCTAGTAAGTCATCTGTTAAATGTCACCATGATGAGTCTAGTAAGTCATCTGTTAAATGTCACCATGATGAGTCTAGTAAGTCATCTGTTAAATGTCACCATGATGAGTCTAGTAAGTCATCTGTTAAATGTCACCATGAGTCTAGTAAGTCATCTGTTAAATGTCACCATGATGAGTCTAGTAAGTCATCTGTTAAATGTCACCATCAGTCTAGTAAGTCATCTGTTAAATGTCACCATGATGAGTCTATTAAGGCATCTGTTAAATGTCACCATGAAATGTCACTATTAGTCTAGTTAGTCAGTGGTTAAATGTCACCATGATGTGTTAGTGAACTTTCCCAAGTGTGTTGACCTGATGTTGACCTGATGTTGACCTAATGTTGACCTGATGTTGACCATAAACAAACTTTTGCCATCAGCTGTTTGAGAGGAACCCACCTGACCGGCTCGGCATGCCCACATGTCCCGCTGGACCAATCAACTCTCACCCGTTTTTCCGCAACATTGACTGGGAGAAACTTGAAACAAGACAAATCCCCCCACCATTCAAGCCTAAAATTGTAAGTTCTTCTTGGATTAGAAACATGCCATAAAACATTCCATTGAAACATGCCATAAAACATTCCATTGAAACATGCCATAAAACAGTCCATTGAAACATGCCATAAAACATTCCATTGAAACATGCCATAAAACATGCCATAAAACATTCCATTGAAACATGCCATAAAACATGCCATAAAACATTCCATTGAAACATGCCATAAAACAGTCCATTGAAACATGCAATAAAACATTCCATTGAAACATGCCATAAAACATGCCATAAAACATTCCATTGAAACATTCCATAAAACATGCCATAAAACATTCCATTGAAACATGCCATAAAACATTCCATTGAAACATGCCATAAAACATTCCATTGAAACATGCCATAAAACATGCCATAAAACATGCCATAAAACATTCCATAAAACATTCCATTGAAACATGCCATAAAACATTCCATTGAAACATGCCATAAAACATTCCATAGAAACATGCCATAAAACATGCCATAAAACATTCCATTGAAACATGCCATAAAACATTCCATTGAAACATGCCATAAAACATTCCATAAAACATTCCATTGAAACATGCCATAAAACATTCCATTGAAACCTGCCATAAAACATTCCATTGAAACATGCCATAAAACATTCCATTGAAACATGCCATAAAACATTCCATAAAACATTCCATTGAAACATGCCATAAAACATGCCATAAAACATTCCATTAAAACATGCCATAAAACATTCCATAAAACATGCCATAAAACATGCCATAAAACATTCCATTGAAACATGCCATGAAACATTCCATTGAAACATGCCATAAAACATTCCATTGAAACATGCCATAAAACATTCCATTGAAACATGCCATAAAACATTCCATAGAAACATGCCATAAAACATGCCATAAAACATTCCATTGAAACATGCCATAAAACATTCCATAGAAACATGCCATAAAACATTCCATTGAAACATGCCATAAAACATTCCATAGAAACATGCCATAAAACATTCCATTGAAACATGCCATAAAACATGCCATAAAACATTCCATAGAAACATGCCATAAAACATGCCATAAAACATTCCATAGAAACATGCCATAAAACATGCCATAAAACATTCCATTGAAACATGCCATAAAACATGCCATAAAACATTCCATTGAAACATGCCATAAAACATTCCATTGAAACATGCCATTAAAACATGCCATAAAACATTCCATTGAAACATGCCATAAAACATTCCATAGAAACATGCCATAAAACATTCCATTGAAACATGCCATAAAACATGCCATAAAACATTCCATTGAAACCTGCCATAAAACATTCCATTGAAACATTCCATTGAAACATGCCATAAAACATGCCATAAAACATTCCATTGAAACCTGCCATAAAACATTCCATTGAAACATGCCATAAAACATTCCATTAAAACATGCCATAAAACATTCCATAAAACATTCCATTGAAACATGCCATAAAACATGCCATAAAACATTCCATTGAAACATGCCATAAAACATTCCATTGAAACATGCCATAAAACATTCCATTGAAACATGCCATAAAACATTCCATTGAAACATGCCATAAAACATTCCATTGAAACATGCCATAAAACATGCCATAAAACATTCCATAGAAACATGCCATAAAACATTCCATAGAAACATGCCATAAAACATTCAATTGAAACATGCCATAAAACATTCCATAGAAACATGCCATAAAACATTCCATTGAAACATGCCATAAAACATGCCATAAAACATGCCATAAAACATGCCATAAAACATTCCATTGAAACATGCCATAAAACATTCCATAGAAACATGCCATAAAACATTCCATTGAAACATGCCATAAAACATGCCATAAAACATGCCATAAAACATTCCATAGAAACATGCCATAAAACATGCCATAAAACATTCCATAGAAACATGCCATAAAACATGCCATAAAGTCATGCCATAAAACATTCCATTGAAACATGCCATAAAACATTCCATTGAAACATGCCATAAAACATTCCATTGAAACATGCCATAAAACATTCCATTGAAACATGACATAAAACATGCCATAAAACATTCCATTGAAACATGCCATAAAACATGCCATAGAAACATGCCATAAAACATTCCATAGAAACATGCCATAAAACATTCCATAGAAACATGCCATAAAACATGCCATAAAACATTCCATTGAAACATGCCATAAAACATTCCATTGAAACATGCCATAAAACATGCCATAAAACATTCCATTGAAACATGCCATAAAACATGCCATAAAACATTCCATAGAAACATGCCATAAAACATTCCATTGAAACATGCCATAAAACATGCCATAAAACATTCCATTGAAACATGCCATAAAACATTCCATAGAAACATGCCATAAAACATTCCATAGAAACATGCCATAAAACATTCCATAGAAACATGCCATAAAACATGCCATAGAAACATGCCATAAAACATGCCATAAAACATGCCATAAAACATTCCATAGAAACATGCCATAAAACATGCCATAAAACATTCCATAGAAACATGCCATAAAACATTCCATAGAAACATGCCATAAAACATTCCATTGAAACATGCCATAGAAACATGCCATAAAACATACCATAAAACATTCCATTAAAACATGCCATAAAACATGCCATAGAAACATGCCATAAAACATTCCATTGAAACATGCCATAAAACATGCCATTGAAACATGCCATTGAAACATGCCATAAAACATTCCATTGAAACATGCCATAAAACATTCCATAGAAACATGCCATAAAACATTCCATTGAAACATGCCATAAAACATTCCATTGAAACCTATCTCTGAAAAATGTCATGTATGTATGCCCATGAGTTTTGTATGTGACCTTGAACTATCTGACTGTCCTGACAGAAAAATGCAAGTGACAGCTCCAACTTTGACTCTGACTTCACGTCTGAGAAGGCCGAGCTGACCCCGACTGACCCCGCTCTGCTGCAGACCATGAACCAGAATGTCTTCAAGCACTTCTCATTCACCAGCGCTGAAGCCCTCAGATCATGATCTTGTGCTGTAGATCATGATCTTGTGCTGTAGATCATGATCTTGTGCTCCAGATCATGATCTTGTGCTGTAGATCATGATCTTGTGCTGTAGATTATGATCTTGTGCTGTAGATGTTCATGTGTCCACCTAGTGTGTGCAACCATTCTGGAGCCGTGACAACCTGACTATGCAGTGAGCCAACCCAGCCTTCAGAGCAGTGAGCCATCAAACCCAGCAGTTTTTTTTTTCACAAACTCAATTTTTTCATTTTCAACTGACTCTACTCCACCCGTATCTAGCCAGGGTCAAGTCTGGCACAGGCCAAACAGATAAGTTGTAGATTTCTTGATTTTAACTTAAGAAAATGTATGTTGCTCTTGATTTTAAATTTACCTTAAAATCAAGAGCAACATACATTTTCTCAACTAAAGGAAACTGTTACATAAATAAATGAAAGCAAATGCAACTGTGGATAATGTGTGTGTAGGCCAGCTTGTCTGTTGTTTGTTAAACCTACTTGACAGTATTCCAATGTGAATGTTCGAGGTCTATGCTGTTGGATCAAAGAAAAACATTTTGCTCAATGTGCATGAATGTCAAGCAACAAGGGGTCAGAGTATCCCAAAACTTTTGACACGTGTTAGAAAGTTTTCTTTTGACTGTAGAGCTGTTTTAATCTGTTGATCATTTCACTCCATGGTGCATAATCCTTTTAACCTGGTTTTATTTTTGTTTGACACGCATGAATGAATGACATTTGAAAGTAGTTTGTAGACAGTAGACCTAAATAATATGGTCAAAATACCTGCTTCTTATACTCATTTATTTTGAGGCTTAATTTATTAGAGAGACTTTACCTGTCAGCTGTCCTGGAAAATTGTATTCATCTCAGAGAAATGACCACCAAACTTAGCATAGACCACCAAACTTAGCATAGACCACTAGACCACCAAACTTAGCATAGACCACTAGACAACCATCTCGTTTGTTAGTAAACTACCAAAGTTGACTACAATGACGTCTGTTATGATAAAAACCTGAATCATTTAAAAATCTGCTGAATGTGCTTTATCCATTTTCATTTATGTCAAGTTTTTATTTGTGGCTACATTTTTAAAATTAGTTTTGTGATGCCTTTGATAGTTTGTAAAAAGATTATATCTAAGATTATAGTGATGGTTTTGAGACTGATTTTGACATTTCTTTAAATTTACAAATACATTATTGATAGATTTATCAATGACATTTATCTAGCCTATATATATATGTGTTTTTATGACATGATTTGTACTAGATCCTATATTGGTTTTATATATACCACAACCACAACAGACACCTTGAGCATAAGGGTGTCTTTTATCATTTAATGTTCATTTTGCAATCAAATTTTCATCCAATTGTTTTATTTAGGTGGCATAAAAGTCAGCCTAAACTACTAAGAGCTCACATTTTTAACTAAATCAACAAATATGACCTGATGTTACTAATACATTTTTTAACAAATCATTATTAAAGTTTTATTGTGTTTAACACAAGCACACACTGATTTTGACACATGCACACAGATTTTTATCTTGAGCTCTAGCATTTGTGTTCATTATTTTATTTTAGCATGCAGGTTTTAACCTGTTTCATATATGTATTTTAGTTTCATTTATTTGTATGCGACAGAAATTTTTTTTAAAATACTCAAAGCAAACATTTAGTTTTTAGAGTTTTTTTTGTCTTGGATAAATGACTACAAAGCACTTTTTGTCTTGGATAAATGAGTACAAAGCACTTTTTGTCTTGGATAAATGAGTACAAAGCACTTTTTGTCTTGGATAAATGACTACAAAGCACTTTTTGTCTTGGATAAATGAGTACAAAGCACTTTTTGTCTTGGATAAATGAGTACAAAGCACTTTTTGTCTTGGATAAATGACTACAAAGCACTTTTTGTCTTGGATAAATGACTACAAAGCACTTTTTGTCTTGGATAAATGACTACAAAGCACTTTTTGTCTTGCATTAGATCTTGAATAAAACTCTTTAAGTCACAGTGTGTATGTCGTCAAGTTGTTCTATTCACTTAAAAACTAGAAAGATTTTAAGTACACTACCAAGTACCGTTATCTTACAAGTACTAGACTCTACTCCTACTAGAATGAATTTCATATATGTATGTAATCATTTTTTAAATATAAACACTCTTAATGTCTTATTAAGCTATTAACATTTTGACATTTTTATTTTTAATTTATCAAACAAAAATTTGATCAATCGTAAATCAAACTTTCTGACAATTAGATCAAGTTGGTTCTAGTTCTAGATCTAGACTTGTTTTTTTCTGGCCACTAGAATCTAGATATCAAGATCTAAGAATGGCCACTAGAATCTAGATATCAAGATCTAAGAATGGCCACTAGAATCTAGATATCAAGATCTAAGAATAAGATTCCAGAATGAGAAGGGTGGCGAAAAATCAAATGTCATGTTCTGTATAAAATGCATTAATCCAGCTATTTATTAAATCATTAAAGATAAAATTTACAACACACATTGTGTATTTTCTTGTATCTGTGGTATTCTCTAGATCATGGGTTCCCAAACTGGGGTTGCAAAAGGTTTTCTGGGGGGTCGCCAACTGGTAGACTAAACAATAGTATTGAAAAAAAAACCCAAATATTTATAATATCTGAAATTCTGCTTAACTAACGTTACTGGAGATGGAATAGAGAAGAAACAATGTGAACTTTGCAAAGTTGTTCTAAGTCACGACTTTATGAAACCTTCAAAACTAAAACGACATTTTGAGACAAGCCGTTCGGAACACACCAAAAAGATATGGAGTTCTTTCGTCGGCATGAAGGTAGTTGCAAACGTCAGAGACTTAATCGAACACGAAGTTTTCGTCAAGGAAACACAGCATTAGTGCAAGCATCATATGAAGTCTCATTATTAATTGCGAAGCAAAAAACCTCTCACACAATAGAAGGAAATCTCTTCAAACCCTGCATATTGAAGATGGTGAAATAATTCTTGGGGATTCCAGGGCAGTAGATGCAACAAATAACTCTGTCTAATAATACTATTCGGCGGCTTATAGCAGACATGTCCGTAGATGTAAAAAACAAATATTGAATTAAATCAAGTTTTCACCATTGTTGGCTTTTCAAGTTGATGAATCAAAAGATGCGAGTTCGTGTTCCCAGTTGCTTGTCTGTGATATATATTAATTCAGATGATATTGATATGAAAGAAGAGTTTCTATTTTGTAAAAATATGGTACAAAAAATTTTGAAAGAGGATTATGGCCGTCTTGAATCTCTTGAAAAATAAGAAATGACATTGGCACAATCCCCATTCTCTGCTCCCTTGATATTACCAGCATTTGCCATGAATTACAAGATGAATTCTTGGACTTGCGGAACAATTCCGCTGCACGTACCTTGTTAAATGAAAACCTGCTCACACAATCTTGTTATAGTATGCACCATTCGTACCGAAACGTGAAATTGATTGCCTTTTGAGCTTTAGTTCCTTTTGTGTCTGCATACTTAATTACTTATTCAACTTAATACTTATCTTTATGAGTGTGGATTTTCAACACTTCTTCAATTAAAAACAAAACAAATAAATTAAATGTTGAGAATGACATGAGATTGGCGTTAACACAATCTCAACTGTGAATTTTGAGGCTGATTAATTAGTAATAATAATTTAATAATACTCCCTAATAATAGCCCTAGTGGCTAGTAGTGTAATTTCACTCATCGTCCGGTTATCAAGAATATTCTTAGAATAATCTTTTTTAACTTTTAGTGCTTACTAATTTCGACTTAATTATTCTAAATCTAAGGGGGTCGCTGGTCACTTATGTTTTATAAAAGGGGGTCGCCACTAGAGACAAAGTTTGGGAATAACTGCTCTAGATCTAGATGAAATTTTTGTCTACCGACTAGTCTAGATCTAGACTAGATAGTACTAACTAGGATTCTAAATCTAGATTCTTTATCTAGATCTACTGAAAGCGGAAGTGGTTCAAGCTAGTCTACTAAAACAAAGATGTAGACTAGGTCAAATAATAATGACTAGGCCTATAACCGTACTATAACGCACTTTAATATTTACTAACTCTAGAGAGCTACACAGGTTTGACATTTTAGATTACCTACATTACATTTTTGTATATTCCTCTTGTATCATTTCAAGTGTAATGTTATCGACACAAGTCAATTTGGCTAAATATCTCTCGAATGTTTTCTTGATCAAAGATGTTTCATTTTGGACCGGATCGTACATCGTTATGTATGTCATGGATAGTGTGGTCAGACAGTTGGCTGCAGGGGCGGAACTAAGACAGTGCCGCCAGACCCAGCAGTGCTGTGAGTCCCTGGCCGTTTATGGGGCTCACAGACGACCTTAATTAATATTTTTTTTTTTTAATTTGAATCTAATTTTAGTGCATTTTTGCCTTGATATTTGGTTTGTAAAATATTACTGTAGCTGCGGTACGATTATCTTTATTTTACAGTCACTATACCACGATCTGATAAATAATGATTGATCTTGTTAAGATGTTGAGTACAGCCTCGCAAAGGTTTCAGTCATAGGTCTAACATTTGTTTACATATTAGAGTGGCAACACTACACGGAATTCTGATTTAGCGCCCTGAGATCCTCGGTGGCTATCTTTGCATCTGGGATCCACAGCATATGGGGATAGGGGGATAGGGTTACTACTTGAATCCACTGGCGGCAGTGTCATCCAGAGCGCATCACGTATGAGCAGTTTGGCCCCCACAGTTGGTTACAAGTTCACACAATACTAGGGATAACTAAATCTAACTAGGGGTTGCACCCATCACCCGTGCATAATGTAACCGGTAGCTCCGAAGAGCCCCGTGACTCCCCAGACATCTGGGCCGCTGCCCAGGGACTTACAGCATGCCTTAGTGTGTTGTTGGTAGTGTGGACAAAGCCGCGCCCCAACAACTAAGATCCAAGAAATGAACTGCCGACATTCTTCACATTTAATTTTGATTAAACTTCTGTTAAACAGGGCACGTCTAAAAATACACGATTTGTAATGTTTTGATTACAGGCTCATAAAAATTGGCGTCAGTTTGGTGTGTTGTACTAGATTTAGAGAGTCCGTGCTTCTCACTTGGAAAACTGAATTGAGCCAGATTGGGTGGTTGAAAACCTCTGATTTATTCGTGTACCAGATGAAAAATAAACATGTCCATAAGAACTCGAGTAAATAAAAAAAAATTTAGAGCGACCCTTGTTTTCCACACACACACACACACATATATATATATAGAGAGAGAGAGAGAAAGGGGCCCAAAACAGTTCTGCAGATGGGGAGGGGGGCTTTTTTTCTAGTTCCGCCACTGGTTGGCTGTATGACAGATGCTATGGTCAGTTGGTTGTATGACAGATGCTATGGTCAGTTGGCTGTATGACAGATGCTATGGTCAGTTGGCTGTATGACAGATGCTATGGTCAGTTGGTTGTATGACAGATGCTATGGTCAGTTGGTTGTATGACAGATGATATGGTCAGTTGGCTGTATGACAGATGCTATGGTCAGTTGGTTGTGTGACAGATGTTATGGTCAGTTGGTTATATGACAGATGCTATGGTCAGTTGGTTGTATGACAGATGCTATGGTGAGACAGTTGGCTGTATGACAGATGCTATGGTCAGTTGGTTGTATGACAGATGCTATGGTCAGTTGGTTGTATGACAGATGCTATGGTCAGTTGGCTGTATGACAGATGCTATGGTCAGTTGGTTGTATGACAGATGCTATGGTCAGTTGGCTGTATGACAGATGCTATGGTCAGTTGGTTGTATGACAGATGCTATGGTCAGTTGGTTGTATGACAGATGCTATGGTCAGTTGGTTGTATGACAGATGCTATGGTCAGTTGGTTGTGTGACAGATGCTATGGTGAGACAGTTGGCTGTATGACAGATGCTATGGTCAGTTGGTTGTATGACAGATGCTATGGTCAATTGGTTGTATGACAGATGCTATGGTCAGTTGGTTGTGTGACAGATGCTATGGTCAGTTGGCTGTATGACAGATGCTATGGTCAGTTGGCTGTATGACATGCTATGGTCAGTTGGTTGTATGACAGATGCTATGGTCAGTTGGCTATATGACAGATGCTATGGTCAGTTGGCTGTATGACAGATGCTATGGTCAGTTGGCTGTAAGACAGATACTATAGTCAGTTGGTTGTATGACAGATGCTATGGTCAGTTGGTTGTATGACAGATGCTATGGTCAGTTGTAGTTGTATGACAGATGCTATGGTCAGTTGGTTGTATGACAGATGCTATGGTCAGTTGGCTGTATGACAATTTATATTGGAATTTGACAGATTCAAGGTTAGTTGAGAAACAACTCTCACCTTGGTGTTTTGTGGTTGCTATGGTTACTGTTAGAGATGTGTGGAAAGTGGCAAGTAACATATCAAGGGGTTTGTGTTATACCAGTGTCTGACTAAATAACCACCTACACCCACACACCACCCCCCTTACGGCACTTTGAAACAAAGTATCACACAGAGAAGCAGCTTAACAATTTTTTATTCTAGCCATTGAAAACAGAGAACAGAGCCCACTTTAGTTGGGCTAGGTTGGCTTGGGTCAAGCACTAGATTTTCACACAGATGAAAACAGAGAGCAGTGATAGATGATGTGTGGAATTCAAGTGTCTGACAGGGCTGTCCTTGATACATGTGTGCTAAGTAATTCAAGTGCTGTCCAAAAAATACAACAGCTTGCTATCTCAGCTCAATGACTTCATGAACGTGTATCCAAGCAACAGTTAATTTTAAACACATCTTAAACAAATCAACATTAAACACATCAAAACACTAAACACATGTTAAACATTTCAAGTTGAAATAGTCTAGTGTTGATAGCCTAGGGTTGATAACCTAGTGTTGATTGCCTAGGGTTCATAGTCTACTGTTGATAGTCTTCTGTTGATTGCCTACTGTTGATTGCCTAGGGTTGATAGTTACTTGAGCCTTGCTAAAAGTGGAATGGTGAAACAAGTGACAGCAAATCCACCAATCAGCTTGTACATAATGTTTGAATCAACCAATCTGCTTGTACATAATGTTTGAATCAACCAATCAGCTTGTACATAATGTTTGAATCAACCAATCAGCTTGTACATAATGTTTGAATCAACCAACTAACAAGAAGATACACATAAAAAGGTACACATTTTACATCTACAAAATTATTAAAACAAAAATCAGAACTTTAATTAAGCTTTGAAATACATTTAACATAAGAAAATCAAACTTTACAAGTCAAGTATTGGTCATTTAAAAAAGGAAAATGTAAGAATTATTTCTACCAGTTGTATTTCAATCTAAGCAGCACATTTAATCTTAAAGGCTACTCAGACTACACTATATCCAAAAAACACAAGGGGAAATAATCCAGCTGTAAAGATCACCTAGGGTTAAGGTTAATCTCAGTGGTTGCAAAATGACATTCATTCAGTACACACATTTTGATGACTTTAAATGACATTCATTCAGTACACACATTGACATTCATTCAGTACACACATTTTGATGACTTTAAATGACATTCATTCAGTACACACATTTTGATGACTTTTAATGACATTCATTCAGTACACACATTTTGATGACTTTTAATGACATTCACTCAGTACATACATTTTGAAGACTTTTAATGACATGTTTTAATTATAAAAGGTTGACTTGATGGCACATTTTCTATTTTATTTTAAGAGCCAATAAAAAGAAATAAACTACTACAGGTTCATCAAATAGAAGCTTCTAACCAAACATTCAACATAAATATACAAGTTTCTAACCAAACATTCAACATAAATATACAAGTTTCTAACCAAACATTCAACATAAATATACAAGTTTCTAACCAAACATTCAACATAAATATACAAGTTTCTAACCAAACATTCAACATAAATATACAAGTTTCTAACCAAACATTCAACATAAATATACAAGTTTCTAACCAAACATTCAACATAAATATACAAGTTTCTAACCAAACATTCAACATAAATATACAAGTTTCTAACCAAACATTCAACATAAATTCAGCCTTGACCCCCACATCTGCCTGAGAGCAGGAGAAGCTACTGGTCAACAATCAATGGAGGGATCAATGTCTTTAGGTCCTTGGCCTTTGACATCTTATAATCAATATTTGATTGACAGATTATTTGTGTTCGACAGATTATTAGTTGGACTAAGTTTCCATGTCCACACTGCCTGCCTCGCTGCACGCATCATCCTCATCACTCAAACCCCAGACCTGTGGTCAGATTAAAAGTCCTATATTTATGGCATTAAGTGGCTGCTCTACTTTTGTAGGCATCACAAGCAGATGTGCTGATCCCATCATCTCATCTCCTGGAAGGCATTGGGATCAACACATCTACAGGTCAACACATCTACAGGTCAACACATCTACAGGTCAACACATCTACAGGTCAACACATCTACAGGTCAACACATCTACTGGTCAATACATCTACAGGTCAACACATCTACAGGTCAACACATCTACAGGTCAACACATCTACAGGTCAACACATCTACAGGTCAACACATCTACACATCTACAGGTCAACACATCTACAAGTCAACACATCTACTGGTCAACACATCTACAGGTCAACACATCTACAGGTCAACACATCTACTTGTCAACACATCTACTGGTCAACACGTCTACACATCTACAGGTCAACACATCTACAGGTCAACACATCTACAGGTCAACACATCTACAGGTCAACACATCTACAGGTCAACACATCTACAGGTCAACACATCTACACATCTACAGGTCAACACATCTACTTGACAATACATCTACAGGTCAACACATTTACAGGTCAACACATTTACAGGTCAACACATCTACAGGTCAACACATCTACAGGTCAACACATCTACAGGTCAACACATCTACTGGTCAACACATCTACTGGTCAACACGTCTACACATCTACAGGTCAACACATCTACAGGTCAACACATCTACAGGTCAACACATTTACAGGTCAACACATTTACAGGTCAACACATTTACAGGTCAACACATCTACAGGTCAACACATCTACAGGTCAACACATCTACTGGTCAACACGTCTACTGGTCAACACGTCTACACATCTACAGGTCAACACATCTACAGGTCAACACATCTACAGGTCAACACATCTACAGGTCAACACATCTACAGGTCAACACATCTACTTGTCAACACATCTACAGGTCAACACATCTACAGGTCAACACATCTGCTGGTCAACACATCTACAGGTCAACACATCTACACATCTACAGGTCAACACATCTACACGTCTACAGGTCGACACGTCTACACATCTACAGGTCAACACATCTACAGGTCAACACATCTGCTGGTCAACACATCTACAGGTCAACACATCTACACATCTACTGGTCAATACATCTACAGGTCAACACATCTACAGGTCAACACATCTACAGGTCAACACATCTACAGGTCAACACATCTACAGGTCAACACATCTACAGGTCAACACATCTACAGGTCAACACATCTACAGGTCAATACATCTACAGGTCAACACATCTACAGGTCAACACATCTGCTGGTCAACACATCTACAGGTCAACACATCAACACATCTACTGGTCAACACATCTACAGGTCAACACATCTACAGGTCAACACATCTACAGGTCAACACATCTACAGGTCAACACATCTACAGGTCAACACATCTGCTGGTCAACACATCTACAGGTCAACACATCTACAGGTCAACACATCTACAGGTCAACACATCTACAGGTCAACACATCTGCTGGTCAACACATCTACAGGTCAACACATCTACACATCTACAGGTCAACACATCTACACATCTACAGGTCAACACGTCTACACATCTACAGGTCAACACATCTACAGGTCAACACATCTGCTGGTCAACACATCTACAGGTCAACACATCTACACATCTACTGGTCAACACATCTACTGGTCAACACGTCTACACATCTACTGGTCAACACATCTACAGGTCAACACATCTACAGGTCAACACATCTACAGGTCAACACATCTGCTGGTCAACACATCTACAGGTCAACACATCAACACATCTACAGGTCAACACATCTACAGGTCAACACATCTACTGGTCAACACATCTACTGGTCAATACATCTACTGGTCAACATGTCTACACATCTACAGGTCAACACATCTACTGGTCAACACATCTACAGGTCAACACATCAACACATCTACTGGTCAACACATCTACAGGTCAACACATCTACACATCTACAGGTCAACACATCTACAGGTCAACACATCTACAGGTCAACACATCTACAGGTCAACACATCTACAGGTCAACACATCTACAGGTCAACACATCAACACATCTACTGGTCAACACATCTACAGGTCAACACATCTACACATCTACAGGTCAACACATCTGCTGGTCAACACATCTACAGGTCAACACATCTACACATCTACAGGTCAACACATCTGCTGGTCAACACATCTACAGGTCAACACATCTACACATCTACAGGTCAACACATCTACACATCTACAGGTCAACACGTCTACACATCTACAGGTCAACACATCTACAGGTCAACACATCTGCTGGTCAACACATCTACAGGTCAACACATCTACAGGTCAACACATCTACAGGTCAACACATCTACTGGTCAACACATCTACTGGTCAACACATCTACAGGTCAACACATCTACAGGTCAACACATCTGCTGGTCAACACATCAACACATCTACAGGTCAACACATCTAGTGGTCAACACATCTACAGGTCAACACATCAACACATCTACAGGTCAACACATCTACATGTCAACACATCTGCTGGTCAACACATCTACAGGTCAACACATCTACTGGTCAACACATCTACAGGTCAACACATCTACACATCTACAGGTCAACACATCTACAGGTCAACACATCTACAGGTCAACACATCTACACATCTACAGGTCAACACATCTACTTGACAATACATCTACAGGTCAACACATTTACAGGTCAACACATTTACAGGTCAACACATCTACAGGTCAACACATCTACAGGTCAACACATCTACAGGTCAACACATCTACTGGTCAACACATCTACTGGTCAACACGTCTACACATCTACAGGTCAACACATCTACAGGTCAACACATCTACAGGTCAACACATTTACAGGTCAACACATTTACAGGTCAACACATTTACAGGTCAACACATCTACAGGTCAACACATCTACAGGTCAACACATCTACTGGTCAACACGTCTACTGGTCAACACGTCTACACATCTACAGGTCAACACATCTACAGGTCAACACATCTACAGGTCAACACATCTACAGGTCAACACATCTACAGGTCAACACATCTACTTGTCAACACATCTACAGGTCAACACATCTACAGGTCAACACATCTGCTGGTCAACACATCTACAGGTCAACACATCTACACATCTACAGGTCAACACATCTACACGTCTACAGGTCGACACGTCTACACATCTACAGGTCAACACATCTACAGGTCAACACATCTGCTGGTCAACACATCTACAGGTCAACACATCTACACATCTACTGGTCAATACATCTACAGGTCAACACATCTACAGGTCAACACATCTACAGGTCAACACATCTACAGGTCAACACATCTACAGGTCAACACATCTACAGGTCAACACATCTACAGGTCAACACATCTACAGGTCAATACATCTACAGGTCAACACATCTACAGGTCAACACATCTGCTGGTCAACACATCTACAGGTCAACACATCAACACATCTACTGGTCAACACATCTACAGGTCAACACATCTACAGGTCAACACATCTACAGGTCAACACATCTACAGGTCAACACATCTACAGGTCAACACATCTGCTGGTCAACACATCTACAGGTCAACACATCTACAGGTCAACACATCTACAGGTCAACACATCTACAGGTCAACACATCTGCTGGTCAACACATCTACAGGTCAACACATCTACACATCTACAGGTCAACACATCTACACATCTACAGGTCAACACGTCTACACATCTACAGGTCAACACATCTACAGGTCAACACATCTGCTGGTCAACACATCTACAGGTCAACACATCTACACATCTACTGGTCAACACATCTACTGGTCAACACGTCTACACATCTACTGGTCAACACATCTACAGGTCAACACATCTACAGGTCAACACATCTACAGGTCAACACATCTGCTGGTCAACACATCTACAGGTCAACACATCAACACATCTACAGGTCAACACATCTACAGGTCAACACATCTACTGGTCAACACATCTACTGGTCAATACATCTACTGGTCAACATGTCTACACATCTACAGGTCAACACATCTACTGGTCAACACATCTACAGGTCAACACATCAACACATCTACTGGTCAACACATCTACAGGTCAACACATCTACACATCTACAGGTCAACACATCTACAGGTCAACACATCTACAGGTCAACACATCTACAGGTCAACACATCTACAGGTCAACACATCTACAGGTCAACACATCTACAGGTCAACACATCAACACATCTACTGGTCAACACATCTACAGGTCAACACATCTACACATCTACAGGTCAACACATCTGCTGGTCAACACATCTACAGGTCAACACATCTACACATCTACAGGTCAACACATCTGCTGGTCAACACATCTACAGGTCAACACATCTACACATCTACAGGTCAACACATCTACACATCTACAGGTCAACACGTCTACACATCTACAGGTCAACACATCTACAGGTCAACACATCTGCTGGTCAACACATCTACAGGTCAACACATCTACAGGTCAACACATCTACAGGTCAACACATCTACTGGTCAACACATCTACTGGTCAACACATCTACAGGTCAACACATCTACAGGTCAACACATCTGCTGGTCAACACATCAACACATCTACAGGTCAACACATCTAGTGGTCAACACATCTACAGGTCAACACATCAACACATCTACAGGTCAACACATCTACATGTCAACACATCTGCTGGTCAACACATCTACAGGTCAACACATCTACTGGTCAACACATCTACAGGTCAACACATCTACACATCTACAGGTCAACACATCTACAGGTCAACGCATCTACAGGTCAACACATCTACACATCTACAGGTCAACACATCTACAGGTCAACACATCTACAGGTCAACACATCTACTGGTC